TAAATATGTAGGCCTATTTGTACGATTAAAAATGGCTCCGAAATTTTGGAACGTTGCAGTAGGTGAAGACCTGTTGAGTGACATTAACATTACGAGATAGGCTTAATTAGCGAGGCGGGAGGGGGGCATTTTAGAATGACTTGAGGCCTGTCAAAAGACTTTATACGACTCTGACCCCCCGGTGTCACAAACCCTAGCTACTTTATTCTGCCCGCCTCTCCTCGTGTTCAGATATGACATGCTTAGTAGTCAAGTGCAGGGATCGGCAGACGTTTTTTTAAAGAGGTCCGGATAAGAAGATCTGGTCGGGCTCAGGGGGCTGGATGGATTGAAACAAATTCAAGTTGGCCTATATGTGTGATCGGTATATCTCACAAATGTTTCTTTTATAAAAACGGCATTTTTAAATATTTAAGACACACACTTTTCATTGTAACATTGCAAACTAAGAAAGAAATGTGTGTTTTTTTCTGAAAGATTACATTAATTTAATTGAGACTCCAAAATAAGATATTATTAAATGGAAAAAAAAAAAGAATTTGAACCGCACAATCGTCTCTTTCACATCAGTGATATTTATGAAGTTGGTGCTTTTCTGACACAATGACATTTAGATTTTGGGTTCAAAGTTAGCACTATCATCAAAACTGTTCACGTGCAATTGCTCAGTCGTCACAAGATGCGGCTGCTCTGTGGTTAGATGTTAGTTGTTTGATCTTTGACCAGGTCTTCTCACACAGGCAGGGAGTGTCAAAACTGAAATGAAATCACGAACAAGGCCATTTTAATAAGCAAATGGACCACCTCGGAGCCACTCATTGTAAAAGTCTATCAGTTTTCCTTCTCTGTAATAGTCTCCTGCCAGATTTGATCAGTTTAATTTGAAGCCCAACTGGAAGCTCCTCAACAATTCTATCAAACGTGTTTTGGAAGATATGTTTTTTTCCCCACTGGCACCGAGATCGGACAATCGGTCATGAAACTGTTTTCCCTTGGAGTTTTGGTTTTCACTCTTCATTTCTATGTCATTTGCATATTTTCTAGGTGTCCCGCCCAGAGCAGCCTGCCCTATTTTATTCTGCTACTAGCATGTTACAATCTACACAATTTTTGGATGATTCGTATTTTCCATCCATATTCAATTTTTTGCACATATCTATACTGAAGAACTTTTCTCTCCTTTGTAGACTATTTGTTTAGGGTACCGAGATCACTGGCGTTCACACTTCATTGCCACTTGCCTGAATAATGCTAATAGTGGTGTATATAATTTTCTTTCCCTTCTTTCTTTAAAAAAAAAAAGTTTTACTCTTGAGTATTTTGTAGATAATAAATTTCAACCCTCGGGCCGTACCTTGCCGACCCTCGGTTCCATTGCAGTGTTTCCATGGTCTGCGGAAGAGTCTGGTTTCTGAAAATAGTTTTGATATTTTTCACAACTTAGCAGCAATTATTGCTGTAAGTGAAGCGCTTGTTCTCACAGCTCAACAAAAGTTCATCACTGAACACTTGAATAACTTACTTGACCGTTTCTTGTTTTAGTTTCTAAAATAAAAGATCAGATCTTGTTGGTTCAGACATCCATTTATTGCATCGAAGACTAATTTGATTTCCGCTTTCCGAGATTAGATTTTGGATCTAGCTGCGGCCGAAGGATTTACCATGACATCACCGGCAACTATTTTGGAGAGATCTTAAAGCAGAATATCCAAAACTTGCTAAACAAAAATCCTTAATAGTACACATCCCGTACACTTGAACCCCCGCGACACTGACTTGTCGGCCATGAGCAGTACTAAAAGACAACATACAGGAACAGAATGTGTTTTAGTGCTCTATAGCGTTTTAAATCAACTCGAACCACGATTAAAGTTGCTTGTAAATAAAACAGCACGCCCACCTTTGTTTTATATTCCCTATTTAGATTTAAGTTATGTAGAACTGTTGTGTTTTTATTCCTCTTAATTTTTAAACAGCCATGACAGAAAAACTAATTAAATTAAAACAGCATTAAACGGTGATAGATGCCAGAGATTCATACCGAGTTGGCTGATCACGGAGTAATGTTTTTCTCTCTTTCAAATTACATATTCAATGTCAGATAATAATGAGAAAAATAATAAATCTGTCACCTATCCCTGGTACAGTGGAAAAATATCAGCGGCGGTCAGCCAAACTTTAAAGTTTGGGTCTAGAATCTAGAGTAAGTGCCTATATATCAGCCAGTTATCGTGTACCGTAATGCAGGGATCGGCAGCATCTTGATGATATTTTACCAAAGTAATTTTATTCAGGATGTCAACAACCAATAAGTAATAAGTCTTCCTCATAAAATTTAAGCCTCATCTTTTAAAGGCTCTTATAATAATACTAGTTATAGCCTGCCCCCCCCCCCCAAATTGCGTGAACTTCCCATCTACTATCTACTATTGTCAACAACCAATAAGTAATAAGTCTTCCTCATAAAATTTAAGCCTCATCTTTTAAAGGCTCTTATAATAATACTAGTTATAGCCTGCCCCCCCCCCCCCAAATTGCGTGAACTTCCCATCTACTATCTACTAAAGTTATTTGACAAAACGTGCATTCAAATAACGCCTTTTATTCGAATCCTAGTTAGTGCGGAAACCCCCTGCCCACTTGTTTTTTCAGGTCCGCTAGAAACATTTAATTTACGCCCAAGAACTATATTAATATTTCTGTCATTCCCCTTCTACATCTCAAATTATGTGTTACATCATAAATTGAAATCATATCCGCACGACGCAAGAAAATAATACTCAACAAACGCACTTGCGGTATTTTTAAGTATCTCATTTAGTGCAGTTATCGAAATGCTATTTAGCGCGCTTTGAGCTCAGCATTACGCTGCACTTTCTTCCATACCAAGAGAATTATGTGTTTTGATTTCAATTTTTTTTAAATTCCTCGTGCCAAGGAAAATCGCCATCCTTATATTACGTATGAGGGTGGAGGGATGTTTCAACTGAACGAAATAGTTAGGTCACACGCAATGAAACATACGATGGACTACAGTAGACAATCGCCCTACCAGCTATTTATATTATGGTCTAATGTCACAGACAATTGTTACAATTGGATGAGTTGAATTTCAAAACAACGCAGCTTTACTTATTGGTAATGCATGGGCTGTTTTTTTTTTGTGTGTGTGTTTTTTTTTTTTTTTTTTTTTTTTTTTTTTTTTTTTTTTTTTTTTT